AATAAGGACTCACCAATCTGAAAATCACTTTGCAATCTACTAACACAAGGAATTCTGGAATTGCAAAAGTATCACTAGTATTTGTCAGTTCCTATCCTGTGATTTTAACTAGGTCATCCGTGCCCACCCCTTGAGGTTAGCACAAGATACTAACCTTGCAGTTAGCACCCAAAAAGTTACAATACAAAGTCCTGAATTCTTTCACTTCCTCCTCGGGGCTCCTGTTTATTCAGCCCCTGACCTTTGGGCTCTGTCTCCCATTCCAGTGAGCACTTGCCTATTGGACCTGACAATTTATTTGGCTTTGTGCTGCTTGAACCTTAGCACTCCTACTCTCTCTCTGAATCTCAATCTCACTCAAGGTTTTGGAATTTCCCTTTGGTTCCCTCCACTCCCCTGCCTACCCCCTGGTAGCTTTCCTCCTTCTAAACAAGGCCCATCCGCTTGACCCAAGTTGATGTGTTTTCCTCTCAACATTGTAGCATTTGTTATAAATATTGATCTTTTTTTTGATACTGGGAGGTGGGAGTTAGAATTTAGGCTCTTAATATTTCTGTGTTTCAGGAAAGGGAAAAAAATGGAACGTTGCCAAGAGGTTTTTTTTTTTCTTTATTTTTGTGTTAACTGAACTGGCTTTTTCTACCTCTTTTCATCTGTTTGCCTCTGGTCTCCCAGTTTGATGATGCTCAGATTCAACCTGCCCTGGAAGAGTGATACCTGAGTGCTTCGTGAGTTTTTTTTTCCCTTCGAGGGCTTCATTCACATATCTACAAATTGCCATAGTGATCTGCTTCAGTTGCCAAAATGCTTGAAGCTTCCTTCTGAATCTCTGAACCCATCTGAGAATTTGACAAAAGACTAAAGACTAAACTTGGGCCAATGTCAGTACAAAGAAAGAGCCTGGATAAACTCATCAGTTAGGATTATACCGGAAGTTCTGATGTGGACAGAAATATTGAGTCTCTTTTTAATCTCTGTGTCTTGTGATGAATTATCATTTAATATCGTCTCTTTTGTCGATGATACATCTATCCCAGATATATCCCACTCGCAATGTAAATTCCTTCAGAGCCTGGACTTGATCTGTTTATAATCACAGCTCTGTCCTCAACATCTAAAGTGCTTGGCAAATAGCAGTCCACCAATTGGTGTTTGTTGAATACTGAATGAATGAACAAATGAATGAGAAGCAGGATAGCGTTGTGGTTGGACAACAGCCTTTGACATCAAAGAGATCCCAGCTCGATTTTTGATTACGCCACTTCCCATCTTTGAGACTTCTCTGGATTGCAATTTCTTCATCAATAAAATGGGGGTGATAATAGCACCTACCTCATAGGTTTTGGGAGAATTAAAATCATACATGTAAAATTCTTAGCGCAGTAGCTGGCATATTTTTAGAACTCAATAAATGTTCACTATGATGTCTGTTCTTTTCAGTGAAAATCCTAAATATTGAAGCTTATTAGAGGTAATTGAACTAACTCAATGTGACTAGTAGTGATGACTGTACTAAAGACAAATTAGTTTAATTCATCTGTCAGCAAGATTACTTAAAGTGCCAAGTTGACAAAACCTGTATTGGTCACACCCACCGTGTTTAAAGCACTATCCTAGGCTTTCAGGAGTGGGCTGGATGCAAAGATAGATATGGCACAGTCTCTTCCCTCTAAGAGTATAAAATCTAGAAGACTTACTGTATGTGGTACTGTGCTAAGTATACAGATATAGGAGGTATTGTTACCTTCCTCATCATCTGAGTTACTCTGTGTGCTTTGCAGAAAATTATTCTGCGACACTCAGCTTCTCCTTTGAATACGTTCAATAACAAGAAACCTACTGCCTCATGAATCAGCTTATCCTGTTTGGGAACAGTCATTACCTTTAGAAAGATCTTCCTTAAAATTAGCACAAATCGACCTCCCTACAATTTTTACACGTGTATCTAACTTCTGCCTTTTGGAAACACCCAGAAAAAAATCCATGTTTTTCCCCTTATATCAGAAGTCAACAAAATAAAGCCTACAGGCCAAATCCAGCTCACCATTTATTTTTGTAAATAAAGTTTTATTAGAACACAGTCAAGCCTATTCATTCACATATTGTCTGTGACTGCTTTTGCACAATAGAGTAGTTGCAACAGAGAACATGTGGCCCACAAAGCCAAAAATATTTACTATTTGGCCCTTAAAGAAAAACTTGTTCAACCTCTGCTCTATATGACAGAACTTCTAACACTTAAAGACAACTAACATGTCTCCTCTTAAAGTGGAAAGCCCAGAGCTGAGCCTAGAACTCTAAATACAGACAGAATGAAGTGGCACTATCACCTCCCTTATTCTGGACATCATACTTCTAATTATGTGGCCAGAGATCAAGTCAGTCTTTGATTGACAACACAAGACTGGAGTCTATCAGGGACTAAACCTCTGAGATTTCTCCCCCAGGATCTTCTGTTAAGTTTCGCCTCCCCACCCTGCATTGGTGAAGCCTAGTGTCAGGCACTATCTACAAAACTTTAATCTTTCCAGTCTGTCCCAAGCAATCAGAAAACAATTCCACATATATTCAAGGGCTGTAGCAGTCAGGGTCAGAAAGGAAAAAGATGACATACTTAGCTAGGATGTTTAAGAAAAGATCATCTTATAATTTACATACCTGTGGGCAGAGTTGAGAAAAGTAAGGGAATTTGTCACCACCCTCTCTGCCTAGAGGGCAATGGGGAGGGAGGGATTTTGCCGGGACCCAGTGAGAGCTGGGGCTGCCCGCCTGGAGCTGTGGCAGTGGAGACACAACCACTGCTGGAAGCAGGCCAGGACGAAGACAGGGGGCTTGGGAAACAGATACCCTGATGTGTTCTGCTCCCATCCTCTGCCTCCCATGGGTGGGACCCAACCAGAGCTGGAGGACAAGAGCATCACAGGAGCCAGCCCACAGGGCACAGAAGAGGACTGAGAGTAGGTGTGGGAGTCGGGGTAGAGAGTGACAAGGGCTAAATGGTGTGCCACGCATTTTTTTAAAATTCTGAATAAATAAACAATGAATGAATGAAGTGAGTCCAAGACCTGGCACTCAGTCAATGTTTGTTGAACTGCAGGAGTGAAAGGACCACAATCTCCTTTACTTCTTCTTGCTGCAGAGCCCTGACTACTGCTGCTCATCATTCCAGACTTTCCACCCCCAACGCAGCCCTCCTCCTGTGCCCCACCCCTGCACCCTCCCCTAGCCTCTGCTGACCCCTCAGCGTTTCCCGCCAAAGAGTAAAAAGTTTGAATTTAATTTGGGACGTAACAGAGCAGAGCACGGGTTGTTTTAACCAGAGTTAGAACATTATCAAAGAGAGGGCTTTAAGTCCTGAAATGATTCCCAGAATTTAAAATACATTCTAGAATTTTCAGAATTTTAAAATGAAAAATTCAGCATCACTGTATCTATGGAGAAAAATTGGTGGCTTCTGAGAAAGCTGCCCCAGACGGTTGCGTTATGAACTCTGGGTTCACCAGACACCTCATTATCTGATGCCTTGGGGCTGGCCGTTATACGCTCAAATGGGCTCATCACATCATAGGTTTTTATTGCAAAGTTGTCTGGGCTCTGCATTCATTAGGCCAGTAGCAATGATGCTGAGGAATTGTGGGTGTATGAGAGAGACTCGTGTTAGCTTGAAGCCGCGGGTAGCAATCCACAGCTGCCTTCCTTCCACTTCCTTCTCCATGGGTGTCAGCATGGAGAACACTCAGCCCTGGATTCCTTGAACAATAATCCCCAAGATTCTGGATTTTGAAGACATAGAAATTATTTAAAAGTATTATTTGGCCTGCTACTCTGGTTAGATTGTTTGTTTTCGCATGGAATGTGCGAGAGAAATCTGAGCACTAAATTAGGAATTGTTGTCTATATATCAAAGCAAATTTTAAAAAGTAACTGCACACATATAGGAGCCTAATTTGTATTCAAGTCCTGAAATCATTTTTGTTCTAACTCAGATCCATACTATTAGCAATTGTCACCTCATGCCTCACAGAGCCGAGCCAGTTAGTCCTTGGAGTTTAAAATGTCTTAGACAAAACCTAGAGCCAGATATATTAGAAGGAACAATCATGGGAACCATGATTCCAGATGGGCATAGCCCAGCTGATATAAGCCCACATGCAACAGCCCAGGGAAAAACCCTGTCACTACCAAAAATTATTCACATCTCGAAAAGCAGGCTTCTGCCAATGCTCTTATGAACCCACGAGATAGAATCAAACTTGAGCTTTGAGCTGAAGTGGCCAAATTCCCAGTTCAGCCATGGCTATGACAGGATATGTCAATAAATTTCATTCAAGGTCTCCAGGGCCAAATTTCACAAAGTCAAATCCCAATTAGGATAACTGGCAACATTTTAGGAAGATCTGTAGATAAGATAATAGTACATATCAACGTTAATTTTCTGATTTTAGACATTACATTACGGTTATATAAGAGAATGCCCTTGTTCTTAAGAAAACACAACAGAAATATTAGAGGGTGAAGAGACATCATGACTTATTCTCAAATGATTCAATAAAAATAATCATTTGTGTATACAGAAAAGAAAGAGAATGATAGGGACTTCCTTGGCGGTCCAGTGATTAAGATTCTGGGCTTCCATTGCAAGGCATGCAGCTTTGATCCCTGGTGGGATTGAAGATCCCACATGCTGCATGGTGTGGCCAAAAAATTAAAAAACAAAAAGAAGAAAGAGTATGATAAACCAAATGTAAAGTATTAATAATTAGGGTATCTGGGTAAAGGGAACATAACATTTTTTAGTATTTTTGCAACTTTTCTATAAGTTTGAAATTACTTCATAATAAGGTTTATAGAAAACTAATTCAAAAAAAACAAACAAACTAGAGCTGTCTTATGCCATCACTGAAGTGCAGTGATTTCAGTCATGCTATTGCTGCAAAGTGAGTAAGAAATGGCATCTCCTGTTTCATCATCTTTGAGCTAAAATGAGTCATTTCCTCTTTCAGCTAAAGAACTCTTCTATTCATGGAGGTGAACGCTAAGGATGCTTTCCACATGAACCTTGAGGTAAGGGGAACTTGACACATGCCCCTCTGTCACATCGCCCAACTGTCCTACTGTGCGCTTCATCCAGGCTCAGGAAAGGGCTCTTCTCTCTTGGCTCACAGAGAGAATAGTTCTGAACCAGTCAACATCCACATTGTTGCATTCTGCTATTCTCAAAGGCCTTTTTGATCTCCCCAGCCTATCCTGCTCAGAAAACCCTTCTCTGTTTTTCTCAAAGAAAATACCACACCTATTAATAGCTGATATCTCCTCGTGGTGCATTTATGGGAGATTTTAATTTTCTCTTCATAGTTGTCTGTACTTGAGAAAATTTCAACAATGACTGTGTTATTCCTTTAAAATCAGAAAAAGAAATATTGTGTTTGCTTTTATTTTCCCAAGCAGCTCTGCATAAATTCTTGCCATGGCTTTCTGTGTCCCCTTCAGCCCCTACTATTGTCACAGCTGCATGTCCCCTTCCTCTCAGCCCACTGACAATCCTCATGGAAAGACTCAGACATGCTGGGCTCTGCATTTTCCCTATCTACCATCAGCTGGGAAAATCACTTCCTGGTCCCATGACCCACTGAACCCCAGGCACAATCTACTGACTTGGATCTCACAGGTTGTTGTTTGCCTCTCCCCACCTACAATATCCTATTGCCATTTTGGAGTCGGAGTTGGGTAGCAGTACTTAACTCACATATTCCCCCTTCATGCCAGATCAAATACCATGCCCCAACTCCATCTCCCTAGGATACCAGGCCCAGCTGATAAATAGGTCGTGAAGTATTATGAGTCCATTTGACAGATGGAAAAACCAAGCCTCAAGGCTACCCTCTGTATATAGGTGTCACCCTGAGGATAAAATCTCTCTTTCAGAGCATGTTAAGGAAGATATGAAGATATGAAACTGATTAGGTCATGGGTAGATGAGAATTATCCTAGGATTTCCTGAGGTCACCCCAGGGTACTTGTCCTCCAATACTGAAAAGTGATGGTCCTTTAAGGACCATCTGATACATCAGTGTCAAAAACCAAGCCTGGGATTTCCCTCGGGGCTAGAGTTTCTCACCTTTAGCACTGTTAACATTCTAGGACAGATAATTCTTTGTCGTGGAGGCTGTTTTGTGCATTGTAGCATGCTTAGCAGCACCCTTGGTCTCCACTCATTAAATGCCGGTATTCCACCCCCACCCCACTTGTGACAATCAACCACGTCTTCAGATGTCGCCTAGGGTTCCAGAGAGGAGAAAGTCCTCCCCTCAGTAGTGACAATAAAATCATGTTTCCAGACATTGCCAGGCATCCCCCGGGTTGAGGGAGACAAAATCCTCCACAAGAAAAACCCCTGCTCTAAGTTACCTCAGCCCAGCAAGACTTGTATTTTTCACACGAGTAGACTGAAATTTATAGTGTTCAGAGTAAACATTAGCAAGGACTTGCAGAAGGGATGCCATAAGTTGTCAAAGTGCTTCCTCACAGCAAGACCCTTTGGCTTAAAGCCCAGGAGTATTTCGTAACACTGCAACCGGTGAATCAACCCAGCCAAACCACCAGCTTCTCGGAGTTTCTTTCTTCTTCCTAAGCTTCTGCCCCTTGATGCCAAATGCCTCATGAGGTTTGATTGAATGAAAGGCAAACGAGAGAGGACAGAGTAACACTAAATGCTTGAGCAATCCTTCCCTTCATGAGGTCCAGAAAAGCACAGCATTATCTAAACTGCGTTGCAAAGCACCAGGGGAGGATTGGCTACTTTTTTAAATTTATATGTATACTTATTTACAAACCACATCCACCCCTCATTATCCTCCACCCTTTACCCAACCTAGTGTTTGGTGTGAAAGTGTTGGCTTCTGATACCAGTAGGTATCTGTGAAAACACAGGCAAGAACTTGAGAGCAGTCCCATGGTGGTCCAAGAGAAACAGAAACGCTGCTCAGTTTCAGGGTGAAAGGAACATCCAGAAAGCAATGTTCATAAAAGAATTCAGAGGAAACAAAATGGTCCCTATAAAGGAGGATTAGAATTAAGAGTAGAATCACACTTCCTGTCTGAGACCCCACCGGAAGTGCCACAGTCCACTTTGTGGCCTTCAGTCTGGTTTCTGGTCTCTTTGAACTGTTAACCCTTCAATCCTTTCCGGCGGTAATGACCCCTCCCTAACAACCTCTCCCTGGCACCTTCTCCCCAGAGTGGAACAGAATGCCACTCTGAATGGCATGCCAGGTTCTTTTGCAGGAGGTTGGCATCCTTTAGGCTCTGCCCATTCCAACCCTCCCACGTCCAGCTCTTTCCCAGGCTCCCATCTACACATCTTTGACCTTAACTCTCCCCAAACTTCAAGAGACTGGGAGGAACTTCGAGGCAGCCCAGGGCACTGGGGAGGATGTGCCCATCCATAGAGTATGCTTTGAGGTCACTCTAAAACTCTAAGCCTATAATGTTTTCACCCACCGTGCTTGCCTACCAGAGTCCTTCAAATGCCTATCATTTGAGCCTCTGCATTGACTGAAGCACGGCATTGTTCAAAACCTACCCATTGGGCTTCCCTGGTGGCGCAGTGGTTGAGAGTCCGCCTGCCGATGCAGGGGAAACGGGTTCGTGCCCCGGTCTGGGAAGATCCCACATGCCGCGGAGCGGCTGCGCCCGTGAGCCATGGCCGCTGAGCCTGCGTGTCCGGAGCCTGTGCTCCGCGATGGGAGAGGCCACAAGAGTGAGAGGCCCGCGTACTACAAAAAAAAAAAAAAAAAACCTACCCATTTACCTAAGAAGGGTAAGAACTTAATACGTGGATAGGAATTTGTTTGTCAGATTAGCTTGTTGGTACCTCTCTAAGAAGGGGGCCATGAGGTTGGGACACAGGACAGGTTAATTGTTTTTTGGGTTTTTTTAAGTATAGTTAACTTACAATGTTGTGTTAATTTCTGCTGTATAGAAAAGTGATTCAGTTATATGTATGTAAGTATATATATATATACATATATATATGTATATACACATTCTATTTTATATTCATTTCCATTATGGTTTGTCATAGGGTATTAAATATAGTTTCCTGTACTATACAGTAGGACCTTGTGGTTTATCCATTCTATATATTATAGCTTACATCTGCTAACCCAAACCTTTATTTTTTTTTTAACATCTTTATTGGAGTATAATTACTTTAAAGTGGTGTGTTAGTTTCTGCTTTATAACAAAGGGAATCAGTTATACATATACATATGTTCCCATATCTCTTCCCTCTTGTGTCTCCCTCCCTCCCACCCCCCCTATCCCTCCCCTCTAGGTGGGCACAAAGCACCGAGCTGATCTCCCTGTGCTATGTGGCTGCTTCCCACTAGGTATCTATTTTACATTTGGTAGTGTATACGTGTCCATGCCACTCTCTTACTTCGTCCCAGCTTACCCTTCCCCCTTCCCATGTCCTCAAGCCCATTCTCTACATCTGTATCTTTATTCCTCTCCGGCCCCTAGGTTCTTCAGAACGCTTTTTTTTTTTAGATGCCATATATCTGTTAGCATACAGTATTTGTTTTTCTCTTTATGACTTACTTCACTCTGACAGTCTCTAGGACCATCCACCTCACTACAAATAGCTCAGTTTCGTTTCTTTTTATGGCTGAGTAATATTCCATTGTATATATGTGCCACATCTTCTTTATCCATTCTTCTGTCGATGGACACTTAGGTTGCTTCCATGTCCTGGCTATTGTAAATAGACCTGCAATGAATATTGTGGTACATGACTATTTTTGAATTATGGTTTTCTCAGGGTATATGCCCAGTAGTGAGATTGCTGGGTCATATGGAGTTCTATTTTTAGTTTTTTAAGGAACCTCCATACTGTTCCCCATAGTGGCTGTATCAATTTACATTCCCACCAACAGTGAAAGAGGGTTCCCTTTTCTCCACACCCTCTCCAGCATTTATTGTTTGTAGATTTCTGATGATGGCCTTTCTGACTGGTGTGAGGTGATAACCTCATTATAGTTTCGATTTGCATTTCTCTAATGATTAATGATGTTGCACGTTCTTTCATGTGTTTGTTGGCAATCTGTATATCTTCTTTGGAGAAATGTCTGTGTAGTTCTTCTGCCCATTTTTGCATTGGGGTTGTTTGTTTTTTTGATATTGAGCTACATAAGCTGCTTGTAAATTTTGGAAATTAATCCTTTGTCGGTTGCTTCATTTGCAAACATTTTCTCCCATTCTGAGGGTTGTCTTTTTGTCTTGTTTATGATTTCCTTTGCTGTGCAAAAGCTTTTAAGGTTCACTAGGTGCCATTTGTTTATTTTGGTTTTTATTTCCATTTCTTTAGGAGGTGGGTCCAAAAGGATCTAGCTGTGATTTATGTCACAGAGTATTCTGCCTATGTGTTCCTCTAAGAGTTTGATAGTGTCTGGTCTTTAATCCATTTAGGTCTTTAATCCATTTGGAGTTTAATATTGTGTATGGTGTTAGGGAGTATTCTAATTTCATTCTTTTACATGTAGCTGTCCAGTTTTCCCAGCACCACTTATTAAAGAGGCTGTCTTTTCTCCATTGCATATTCTTGCCTCCTTTGTCAAATATAAGGTGACCTTATGTGCATAGATTTATCTCTGGGCTTTCTATCCTGTTCCATTGATCTATATTTCTGTTTTTGTGCCAGTACCATACTGTCTTGATTTCTGTAGCCTTGTAGTATAGTCTGAAGTCAGGGAGCCTGATTCCTCCAGCTCAGTTTTTCTTTCTCAAGATTGCTTTAGCTATTCGGGGTCTTTTGTGTTTCCATACAAATTGTGAAATGTTTTGTTCTAGTTCTGTGAAAAATGCCATTGGTAGTTTCATAGGGATTGCATTGACTCTGTAGATTGCTTTAGGTAGTATAGTCATTTTCACAATGTTGATTCTTCCAATCCAAGAATATGGTATATCTCTCCATCTGTTTGTATCATTTTTAATTCGTTTCATCAGTGTCATAGTTTTCTGCATACAGGTCTTTTTTCTCCTTAGGTAGGTTTATTCCTAGATAT